TACATTTTTTTAAAATACAGGGCCTACGTCCTAGCCCAGACTTGCAGAACCAGACTCCTTGGGGCTGGAGTGTAAGAATCTTCATTACTGCAGAGTTCTGGAGCCTTTTGACATCTGCTTCATAAAAACTGAATGGAAAGGACAGGATCTGTCTAAATTGAGTAAAGGCTCTACTAAGTGTTGAATGCCTCCACCTTTAAGGGCACTATTATAATAAGGTATATTGCAAACAGTATAAACTCATCAAGAACATTTATTCAATCATTTCCATATGTATTATGACAAACTAACCAAATGAGCCATCTTAAATATATGCATTTTAATCACATCCCAATCAGACCTCATTACACTGTAAGTTTAAAAAGTACTTTGAAGGGCACCTCTCTCCACACTTGCTGGGAATCAGGCAATTATGATCAACTGAAAAAACATAAAAATAAAACTATGGTATGTTACCAAAAAAAATCCATTATGTATTTCTAGATGTGAGATGCGGAGTATACAAACACAGAAAAACTACAGGTCTCTTAATTATGAGGGACAAAAGGCACATGAATGTGTCCATTTTTACACATGCACACTAACAGCCACTTTGTACTGACTCTGTGGCCCTTATTATTGCCGTTGTGTAGCTGAGAAAACTGAGACACAGAGAGGTTAGGTAACTAAACCAAACTTACAAAACTAGTAAATGACAAAAAGCCTAGAATTTAAGCCTAGGCTCTATCACTTGATGTACTGTATTGCTAGGGCTGCCATAGTGATATACCACAGAGTAAGTGGCTTAAACAACAAATATTTACTTCCTCACGGTTCTAGAGGCCAGTCTAGAGGTGTCTGTAGGGTTAGTTTCTCCTGAGGTCTCTCTCCTTGGTCTGCAGATGGCTGACTTGTCCTCTGTCCGCACACGGCCCTTCCTCCGTGTGTATACGTACCTGGTGTCTCTTTTTCTTCTTATAAGGATAGCAGTCATAATGGATTAGAGCTCCACCCCTAAGGGCCCCATTTGAACTTAATCATCTATTTAAAAATCTTATCTCCAAATATGGTTACATTTTGAGGTATGAGGAGCAGAGACTTCACCATATGAATTCTGGGGGACACTATTCAGCCATCACACTTATTGATGGTGTAACCTCAGGAAAGTTACTAGACTTTCCCAGGCCTCAGTTTCTTCAACTGGGAAACAAGTGCTATTGAGAATCAAATGAGATAATTCACGTAAAAATGCTTAGGAGAGCATCTGGCACACAGCATCATCACTTTACAGATGAGAAAAACAAAAATCAGTTAACAGTGACTTACTCTTTCTTCATCTCCAAAGCAGAGTTCTTATTATAGAATACTACCTTCCTATACAACTTAATGCACAATCTAGGAGAATTTAATGTCATTTATAATTTTTCCTCATCTTTTTTTTTTTTGAGACAGAGTCTCGCTCTGTCGCCCAGGCTGGAGTGCAGTGGTGCAATCTCAGCTCACTGCAAGCTCCGCCTCCTGGGTTCACGCCATTCTCCTGCATCAGCCTCCTGAGTAGCTGGGACTACAGGTGTCCGTCGCCATGCCCGGCTAATTTTTGTATTTTTAGCAGGCGCCCATCGCCATGCCTGGCTAATTTTTGTATTTTTAGCAGAGATGGGGTTTCACCACATTAGCCAGGATGGTCTCGATCTCCCGACCTTGTGATCCGCCTGTCTCAGCCTCCCAAAGTGCTGGGATTACAGGCGTGAGCCACCACGCCTGGCTCTTCATCATCTCTTAATTCCCGCTTTCTCACAGTTCTTTTCCAACTTTATTACATACAAGGAAGAGAAAGAAAAGCTCAAATTAATGATCAATTCTATTAATAAAAATTTAGGCAGGTAGACATACTACTTTCTTGAAATTGTATGACAATTTCACTCATCCTTTCTCCTAACTTGCAAAGACAATTGGCTATACTCAAACTGTGATGACAACTCAGATCAATACCTGCTGTAACTATTAGGAAAGAAAGGCAACCCAATCCTTTTTATTAACAAATTATGATTGTACTTTACATTTGCCTAGTACTCTAAATACACTATACCTATTTAATCCTCAGCTCAATCCTAGGATATTGTTTTATTTACCTCTCCTAACAATCAGAAAGTATTATTCTTATTTTATAGCTTAGAGAATAGGAGCACTACTAAGTTAAAAAAAATTTTTTTCTTAAAGGTCACAAAGCTTGTCAATAATTGGCAAAATTATTGACAGGATTCTCACTGACATCTTCTGGCCTGAAGCCAAAGTTCTCCACAGCAGGCCACCATCTACCCAGGTTAAGTTGCAACACCTGGTTTTCTCACTCTTCATCCCTGGCACAAATGCAGTAGGTGCTCAGCAAATATGGAGTCTGATTGGGGGCAATCTCAACCAAGCTGCAGAATCTGTTTTATGTCCTTCATATGAGGCCAAGTTTTTCTGACAACTTTGACCATCATCAACTCCTCAGAATGACAGCTCTTTAAAGGCAGCAACCAATTTCCTTCTTCTCCAGAGTCCAGCACACTGGGTGCTCGTTTAAGTTCATTAAGTTCAGATATATGGAGAATTGAGAGTTCAAGTACATGTTTGTTGTATAATCAAACCACAGAACATTCTTCTTTTAGCGATGGCAACGAGTGCTTTTCAGCCACTACCATATAAAAAATTAACAAAAAGAAACATTTACAAAAAACCTCTATGGCCTACAACAAAGATTAGCCTTCAGGGCCTTTCCAATCCCCAAATTCTGCAATTCCATTATAGTCTACACCTGATTAGTTAAACCGACCACCTTGAGTACCCAATTCTGAGTACAATGCAACTGGGCTTGTCCATGTAAACCCAACACAGTGTTCTTAGTCTTGCGGTGTGCTTCCAGGTAAGCAAGTTTATCTGACGGGCAAGTTCCCAGTTCCCAGAGGGAATGGCGATGGATAATAAAGTTGACCTGAGCCACAGTGGACTTGCTCTTATCAAGACGTTGTGTCGTAAAAATGAGCTATATTAAGATAAATCATGCTGACTTTTATTTTCCTCAAGAATACACTGCTGGCTGCTTGGATTTATTTATTTATTTATTTATTTATTTATTTATTTAAACTTCAAATTTGTGTTGCTGTGAACAGCTGAGCAAGTTTTTACCCTGTCATGGAAACTATCTGGCCATTTTTGCACTGTTCTGTATGCTGGGAAGGGAGATGAGTAGAGCTTGCCAGAAAAGAGTTCTAAGCTCGGTTACTATGCTGTCCAGTAACTTCAGGGACTTGTGAATGTTCAGTTTGTTCCTATTTGTTGCTTTTGTATAGCATGTTGTGACCTGGCTACAACCTTCCTGGCTACCTATGTCACAGGGCTGTTGTAGGAAATTCACAAAAAGTTTTGTGGGCCTGTTAAAAAGAGCATTCAGCAAAGAATTGAGGATGTAAAGTTAAGTATCACCAGCATTACGATTCCTGTCTGAATTAATCTTTTCAAAGAACTCTGAGATCTGAGGTTGGCAAATTCACTAAAAAGGCAAAGAATTACTTTAGGTTATTTTTACAAATTCAGGCATCCTAAAAATACTCTTTTTTGATGCCTTGATCAAGAGAGAAGAAATTTCAGAGAGAAGAGGCATAGAAATCCATCTGTAGTTCTACAAGTAGCCCAATTTCAGTATCAATTTATCCACTCACTATAATAAATATTAAATACATACAATATACAAAGTATTAAGCTAGATACTCTAAGGATGAAGAATTATGTAAAGGATGTTCCTATATTCTCCTGTATTACAAGTACACTGTAAGATGTAACTTTTGTTTAGATTTCCTTCCCAAATAAGTAAGCAAAGTTTTCTAGTTTCCCTGGGACAAAGAAGGTGAAAGAACAAAATAATTTTTTCATCTATTATGACTTTCTGGATTCATAGAAACATTTATTTTAGAACATTCTGGAAGACTTATCTATTAGTTTCTACTGATGAGTAGCAAGCAAGAGTGACTGAGCTACAGAATGGCTGTGACTTCCAAAGATAACCTGATTAAATCTGACATGCATGTGACATGGGGGGAGCAAGGAATCCATGTGTCCTTCAATTTCAATAAGAAGAGTTAAAAATGTATTATCAAAGGAAGAAGATCACAATCGTGTGGTTTTGAAAGCAGACCAAAAATGACAGGACAGAAATATTCCAAATAACTTGGAATCCAAGTCATTTGGGTTTCCTTGAATGCCCTGCCATATTAAATCACGTATGGCTCTGTAATGAAAGGAAAAGTTAAGGCCTGTCTCATGCCCCATTTCTGCCACTGACTGAGCTTGAGAAAGAAAATTCAATCTTTTAAAGTTATTCAATGAAAGGCAGAAATAATGAAATAAGCTTATTAATGTGGGGTAGAAGATGTCTTGAGCAATCAGCCAGTGTCCTTATCCAATTAAGTTGAAACAGGAAGCCCCAAATTTCCTTAAAGTTTTGCTGGTATTAGTTTGCTAGACTGACTGTTCCAATATATAAATTCTTTGTGTGTGTTTACTTTTCCCCCTAGAGTTATGGCTAAACTGAATAGAAGAACCAACTTCCTAAGATCTGCTTCTTTCACTTTTAATATCCTATTTTTCCAAAGCCACCGAGCTGATGTCCTTCAACAAATGGATTAAAGTGAATGCTGAGAACCAGCTCTCATGTCTGAGCATGGAGAAATAAAGGGTTTATACCCAAGGCAACTAGGGGCATACTCACAATGGTCAATGTCACATTAAGGAAATCTGTAGTACATCAAATGAAATTCTGAAGTTATGATTCTGTTCAAGCTGAACCATCTTTTGGGACAGCCTATTGCAAACAAGATTGCTGTATTTGGAATTCTGACACCAAGAACGCCTAGGCAACCTCTTCACAGAAATGGAAAATAAGACTCAGCCAGCTCCATGTCCCGTGGTGTAACCTCACATGCAGCACACGAACGGTTCTTAGTTATTATTATTTTTAAATGAAAAGTAGATCGACTTACATGGCTCTCTGGCAATGAACTGAGGTACAGTGTTGGGCAGAGGAGTACTGGGGTTTGGAGTCCCTACGAGTTTGTTCTTGGCCATCTTCGTGTTTGCCTTAGCAAACTCTAGTCGTAGTGTTTGCGGAATTTCAGGATCGAAGCGGATGCCCTTTGGAAACAGAGAACAAATGGAAGATGTTTTCATTTCCTTAGAGTCAAACCGGAATGGTGACAAAATAAACACACCAGTAAACCCTGGTCTATCAGGAAAAAAGGTCAGCAACCACTGTCATTCTTACTACTTACACAGGTTACAGGAAAAATGACAACACAAAGTGTCCTGAAAGTCAGTGGTATTTAATTTACTTAAAAAATGTAGTTACACAGATTTTCAACTATTCCTTTTCTTTTTAGACAAAAACTTTCCAGTTTAAAATTTGAACCAGGAAATTCCTAGCACAGTTATACACTTTAATGTATAGTAATTTCAGTTACCTTTGACCCTATTCCTGCAGTTTACCTAAAACAGATTATATTCAGTAAAATAAATCACAGACACTATGAAAGACAAGTTAGGGCAAGACAAGTCTATTTGGAATCCTTCCACCATTCAAGAATGCCTTCATTATTAAGCATCCAATACCATGAATTCTGGACCCTACATGTCAAAAAGCTATCCCAAGAGAGTACATTTTAAATATGCACCCATGGGACCCACTCAGTTCCCATGTTTTCATGGTGGGGTCTGGAAAGGGACTGGAGTCCTGAAAATGAGTCTCCAAAGACCACAGTTGCCATTTAGTGTTCTGAATGTATACACATGGGCCTGAGGGCTCCAAAGCATCCCCCGTCCCCTCGCCACCGTTCTTCCTAATGAGCTTGAAAAAAAATTAGAGCAGGCAGGGTGCTGTGGCTCATGCCCTAGCTCATTCCCGTCATCCTAGCACTTTGGGAGGCCAAGGCGAGTGGATTGCCTTAGTTCGGGAGTTCAACACCAGCCTGGGCAACATGGTGAAACCCTGTCTCTACTAAAATATAAAAAAAAAATTAGCTGGGCGTGGCGGCATGTGCCTGTAATCCCAGTTACTTGGAATGCTGAGACAGAATGGCTTGAGCCCGTGAGGCAGAGGTTGCAGTAAACCAAGATCGCGCCATTGCACGCTAGCCTGGGTGACAGAGCTAGACTCTGTCTCAAAAAAAAAGAAAGAAAAAGAAATATCCACAAAAATAAGACTCTCTTACTTTAGAGACCAGGATGAACAACTCAGAACTTCAAACTTCACAGGCTCAGCTTCAAGGATACAAGGAAGAGCCTGTGGCTGGATAGTAATGGCATTAACAGGAAATAAGGGGTGAAGGGGAAGGAAAGAGAGGTCCTTAGGGAGGCCTAACAAAAGCCACAGAGCCCTGACCCAGAAGTCTTGGAGTGGGTGGAATTTCTTCCCGAGCATGACTCACTCATTCTGAGAAGAAACCAATTGAGGGCAGTAGCAAAAGGGATGTGGAGGATACCCTTGTGCATACCTAATCAACACCGAAAAGTGAACAGATAGTGCCCATTCTGGGAAACATAAGAACATTTTCTTTAACTGGTGTTGTGTTGTTTTGTTGTTTTTTAAATTTGGGAAACCTCAATACTATTTTGCCCAAAAAGTACATAAGGAAAAACAAAAACAAAAAGCAAAGCTGCATTGTGAAGCAGGCTGAGGTGAGGTCACAAAGGACCTCACTGAGGTGGACCAACTTCAACCCTAACAAAGCTAATACTACAACAGAATAAATATTTCCAAGAATGGAGGTAAGAACTGTGGTCTCTGCTGGGAGACAAGCACAGTCCCTGGGTTTCAAGTACAGGTATGCTGTGGAAGGACTTGCTCAATCGCATCACACTCCATCAGACACACATAGTAGCAACTTGCCATCAACTTCAGGACGTCCTCCCTGGCACTAAACCTGACCAACCTTCCTGTGAAGAAGCAACTTTCCTAAACCTGAGCTCACATTAAGATAAGTCCTGTGGCCCAGGCCACTGGGGATAACATGAAGAGTATCCTGGGACCTGGACGTAGTCTAGAGCATCTGGCCTCAGAAAATGAGGCTGTACATGTGAATTCTATGCCTCGGTTCTTTCTCTGGTGGTTCCAGAATCAACTGAAGCTCCACATAATGTGTTTGCCTCTTACACAACCTGGGCTGGTGGCTTGAGTCCTAAAACATGCTGAACTAAGTCTCCCCTACTCCCTGCCCCCTTCTTCATACCCCCTCCATTTGAACTAAAATAACATCAACATCATGTTCCAAATCAAAGTTCCAGCATCCTTATTTTAAAAAAAAAAAGCTCAGAAGTTAAAATGACCTAATTTGTTTGGCAGCTTATTCAGAGGCCGGAGGCTTAGAATACAAGCCACATTCCTCTAACATCTTTAGCAGCAATACCATATTTGGTAATCAATATCCTGCTCAGCTAAGTTTCCATCCATAGGGATTAGCCAAGCCAAAAACATTTTAAATGTTAAGGGATGATGAAGAGGAGAAAAAAGAGGGGCAGGAGAAGGGAGAACACAGAAATGAAGAGGGAAAAAAGAAAAAGAGAAAGACGAAAAAGAGGCAGGAGGAAGAATACATGAGAAAAAAATTCCTTGTGTTTTTAATTAAAGCCTACTAAGATTCTTCTCTGGTTACAATTACTTCACATTAAATGCTGTCAGGATAAGATTACTGCCAAGTGAAAGGGTGAACCTGTGTCTTTCAAAAGCAACCTTTTCCTCTCTTGCTCATAATTCACCGTTCTTCTCACAATAAACAGAGAACCTTTCTCTTCCAAATGTAAATGGTGTCCTATTTATTACATGGACCAGAAAGGATAGTTTCTGAATATTAGTATATTGAATATAAACAGTTACTTACAAGCACCCCAATCTGACTGGCTACAGGACAGTCAATAGTCTCAACCAATCCAGGTTCCATATAATCTACAGAGCCTGAACTCCCTACTCAGGGCAAATTCTGGGAGATAAAAGGACACTGCTGAGAAACAACATATTCTTGTTTGTCCAGTGTACTTAAAAGTATATCAGGGCAGTTTCATGCCAGGGAGCCAGGGAAGGCACCCAAGGAAGTGATGGAAGAGTAGAAGTTCACCAGGTGCAGCTCAGGAAAGGGCTCAGCAAATTTCTCTGTAACAGGATGCAGAAAGGGTATTGGGATGGGAAAGGTTGGGAGTGGGGTGGCTGAACAAGCAGACTGGGGCGAGATCACAAAGGACCTCTTAGGCCATGAGTGAGGACTTTGGAGTGTGTGCTCAGCTGAGCCATTAGGTTTTAAAAATGAGGGGGATAATATCAGCTTTTATGTAGTAAGTCTGTGACCCTCAAATATTAGCAGCATCAACTTGGAGGACTTGCTCGAGTTTCTGGTTCAGTAGCTCTGAGATGGAATCTGAAAATTTGCATTTGTAACAAGTTCAGGGTAATGCTGATGCTGTTTGTATGGGCACCACATTTGAGAATCACAGTGGTTGCTGGTAACTCTAGGGGTGGTAGGAAAGATAGACTCAATGAAAAGACTAGAACAGATCAGACATGAAATCATTAGAGCAGCCCTGGGAAGAGTAGCTGGGATGAGATGGCTACTGCCTTCTAAGTCTTCTTCTTTGGGAAGGGTACTCAGGGGCCAGTGTCTGTGTTCTGCGCCCTTATTCCCCTGACCACAAACCTGTTTTCTCTTATAAAGATTTCAACCTTGAGCCTATATAGAGACACAGAAAATGATGTTGACCAAAGCTGAGTCACCGTAACGGCCTCTCACTAGAACAAAAGTCTCCAAATTCCTGTCACTGAGGTCTTCAGAGCACCCTCATGCCTGACAGAGTCTTGGCTATCTGGTACAATAAACAGAGTACTTCAATTCTGTTAGCTTCAGGCTCCCGGTGTTGTTACAAATGGTTCTACACTAAAGTTAGTCCATCAGTCCTTGACAACGAGTTTCAGGGACAATGGAATGACTCATTTAGGAAAAAAAAAAAATCGTTACAAACAAAGCAGAGCTATATATACATATTGAGAAAGATGTCCATGGCTAGATTAGGCTGGGGAAAAAAAAAAAAAAAAAAAAAGATACTCAACAATGTTTAGTAGTATGGAGGTAGAGGAGTCTGTATATACACGCGCATGTATGCTTCTCTATCTGTGTAAGTCCAGAAAGGTTTAGAATGAGACAACCAACCGGTTAACAGCAGTCCACTTGGTGGCAGGGGTGAGAGAGGGCACAGACTTTTGTACAATTTTCCATCATGTGAAATTTTTACAAATATGTATAATTTATAAAATCCAATACAGAGTTTAAAAACAAAAGGAGAAAGGTGCAATAAGGGATTTCCTACTGGGACACAGCATTCAACCAGCTATGTTTTTAAAACTAGTTACTTTTTAAAAAAAACTTTATTCTGAAATAATTGCAGACTTACAGAAAAATTGCAGACATAGTATAATTCCTACATACCCTTTACCCAGATTTCTTAGATGTTAGCATTTCACATTTATCAAACACACATACCATGTTTCCCCTGAACTGATTAAAAGTAGCAAGCATGATATCCTTTTACCCTTTACTTCAGTCTGATTTCCTAAAAACAAGAACATCCCTTTGTTTCCCTGATCCAAGATCTAATCCAGAATCACACACAGCACTTAGTTGTCATCACTTTAGTCTCCTGGAAGAGCTCTTCAGTCCTTACCTTTCATGAGCTTGATATTTTTGAAAACTACAAGCTACTTATTTTGTAGAGTGGCCCTCGATTTGGGTTTATCTAATTTTTTTTTTTTTTGGTTTAGATTCAGGTTACGCATTTTTTGGCAGAAGATCACAGATGTGCGTCCTGCACAGTGCATAATATCAAGAGGCACATGATGTCACTTCTGTCCCATTACAAGTGATATTAGCTTTGATCATTTGCCAAGTTTCTCTATTGTAAAGATGCTATGTTTTCCCCTTTTAACTAGTTTCTTATAGACAGGTATTTCCAGACTATATAAATACGTTGTTTGTCAAAAAATCTACTAATTTTAACATCTATTAATAATTATTACCTGAAGCGTTTGTTACTATTGTAGTTGCCAGATGGTGCTTTAGTAATCTCATTGCTCCTCCCCACTGCCACCAGACGGAGAC